GATGAGGGTGAATGTGATTGGAGGGTGGTGGCGGGGGTGGAGGGGGTGGAGAGGGGGAAGGGGTGGGACGGTGGAGGGTGGTGGAGGGGTGGTGAGGAGGGGTGAAAGAGATGGAGGGGGTAGTGGCTGGCTGTACCTGAAGTTACGGTGTTTATGACTGAAATTGATTTGGACCCGAGGTTTTTGATGGTGTGAGACAGGGCGACTGAAAACCTTACCCTGATAATATTGTGTGTGTGTGTGTAGGTATAACTATAAGGCACCAGAAACTGACACACACACACACACACACACACACACACACACACACACACACACACACACACACACACACACACACACACACACACACACACACACACACAAATAAAACAAAATAAAATAAAAAAACACAAATATAAGGCACTTATTCCACACGCTAAAACAATATAGCAACAAAGTTTTCTGAAATAATACTAATAATAATAATAAAAAAAAAAAAACACCACACCTAACAAAATGTAAACATACTTATACTTTATTCCTCTCGGTTAGAAAAATAAACAAGAAAGAAATTCCCTCCCCCACACATTTTATTTTTCCATATCCACTAACTCAGACTCGGAACAAAACTTAGGTAATAAAAGGAAGAATATCAATACCAGATTGTAAATTCTCTTTCTCTTATGTTTACAAATGCGGCAAAACCATCTATAGCTCGAGCGGTGTCATACGTCTCTCTCTCTCTCTCTCTCTCTCTCTCTCTCTCTCTCTCTCTCTCTCTCAAAACACCTTACACCCGGAATGATGATCAAGAGGTATTCGAAGAAGAGCTGTATATTATTAATTTTAATTTATTCATCGTTTTGTTAGGTCTGTATTCATTTTTATTCATTTTTTTGTTTATTTATCTTTTTTTTTTCTCTCTCTCTCTCTTCTCCACCAGGCTTAACGTGGGCGGCGGCGAGTGATGATGTGGGGAGGGTAGTGGGCGTGCTTCCCCCCTGGCCATGGCACCCTCCACCACCACCATTCCACCTCTCTCTCGACCTACCCGGTAATCATCGAACGTCATCTACCCTCCAACACCCTCTCCTTCCCCCTCCAACACCCCTCCAACACCCTCCATGATGGTGTTTCTGGTTGGTAGTCAGCTGTGTGCTTCTCCTTCGACTCCAGCAGGTTAGTTATTACCTGTGTGTGTGTGTGTGTGTGTGTCCCTACCTAATCATATATAATCCTATAAATCAATTAAATGATCTCTCTCTTATATTTTTGTAATATTAAAAAAGTTAACAAATTTATGTTTCAGAGTCGATAGGTGAGGTGTCTTCCACGACAATCTTAAGCGACCTCTCAAATGACCTCTCAAGTGACCTCGACTTAGGGCCCACAGATCCTGCTATTCTCGCCCTCCTCACGCAGCTCTCCCAGCCAGGCAACTTCTCACAGCTGGAGGCCATTAATCGGGTGAGTTATTACCTCCAAACAACCTCTCAAAGTTGGAGGCCAGTAGATAGGTGAGTGTTATTACTTCCAACAACCTCTCAAAGTGGAAAGACAGTGAATAGGTGAGATACGACCTCTAAACCTCTCAAAGTTGGAGGCCAGTAAATAAGTGAGATACGACCTCCAAACCTCTCAAAGTTGGAGGCCAGTAAATAAGTGAGATACGACCTCCAAACCTCTCAAAATTAGAAGCCAATAAAGGTAATCCAACAGGTGAGATAACTCCTCTCTACCAAACCTCTACACAGATGATGTCATCCACTCACCTGTTGAAGTCATCCAACACCTCTTCAGCAACTTCCTCTGGTCACCTGAAGAATAGACACCCACCCCTTTCTTCCGTAGATTTCACTGAAATAAATAGAAAAATCCCTAAGTAAATACAACGTTAAAAAAAATCCCTTTTCCCCATTAACATCATCACATTAAATACTTTATGCCCAGTTAATAAAAATCCTTTACACATATGCTCCCTGCAGCGATCACACAATGTAAACACACAATAATTTCCCGACACCTTCCTACCCCTCCCAGCCTCTAAACTCCCCTAGAGAGGTCAGTATATACCCCCACCGCCGCTAAATAACGAGATTGGGGGGAGTGAATAACCCTTGGTGATTTATATTCCTGCTGAGTACGTAGCGGGTGTAATCAATTAGGGGGAGGAGGGAGGGAATGACCCGTTATTAGGAGTGACGGAAACAAGAGGAAAAGGTAGAGAGAGAGAGAGAGAGAGAGAGAGAGAAAAGTTGTTCAGATAGGTAAGGTAAATATTAGGGCTCAGGTGATTTCTTTGAGAGGGAAGGTTTCATTTGAGGGGCGCGGTTCAGTTTACAGGCCAAGGTGGGGTTCAGTTTACAGGCCAAGGTTAAGGTGGGGTTCAGTTTACAGGCCAAGGTTAAGGTGGGGTTCAGTTTACAGGCCAAGGTTAAGGTGGGATTCAGTTTACAGGCCAAGGATGTGGTGGGATTTGGTTTACAGGCCAGAGTTCCGGTACAGGTAGTATGCAGCAGCTGATCAACGCCATTAATTATTCACAAACAGGTAAGGGATGTATTTGTTTACTCAGAATATTGTTTAATATGTTAATCTCTTTGGGGAAACTTCCTAACTTATATTGTTTATATATACACACACACACACACACACACACACACACACACAGGTGAGAACAAGTCAAGAGTCACCTCACACCAGAAGGTTATAATGTAAACAATTCTTTTCAAGTGTATACAAGCAGATCAAACTTTCCACACATTAAGCTAAGTATATTTAAGATTTAGTCTAGGTTGGCTGTGTTTTTTACTGTTGTCTTGTATTTAACTAACTCGACACTTCCGTTACAGCGTCAGCGGCAGATTCGTTTTAAGAGTTCGTATCGTGAGCTACCGGAGGGTCTACAGGGGATCTTGGCTGGAGGGGAGGGCAGGAATCTGGAGGGCCTCTCTTACTTCATCCAGGTGGACTTGGACGACCCTCCCGCCAGCAAGGCTCTCGCCAAACTCCCTGAGGGCACCAAGACTTACTTCCCCCCGCAGCTGTCAGAGCCAGGAGCAACACTGCCGCAGGTGGAAGATTCCGACGACGATACTATAACGCAGAAGGCAATATTGGTCGGTGTTTCCTCTACACGAGTGCCGGCCCTGGACCAAGAAGCAGCAAAGACGTCATCTGGCTCAAAGACTTACACCTCACCACATCTGAAGGATCCCGCACTAAGGACCAACAGCATTCACTCCCTGGATGACAATGAACTAGTGACGTCACCCTCGACCTCCACAATACAAACTCTTTCTCCGTATGAGGCGTCGACGACAGAGAATCCAAATTTCATAGCAAAGGGTCTCTTAGTGTCATCTAGCTACTCTGCTTACTCCAAACCTTTACATAACTCCCTCACTACACGGCGTCATAGAGTCACTACCACTCCTACTCCCTCTACAACTCCATCTTATTTCGTGAAGTCTTTTTCATCTCTCTTGCGTTCCTCTTCACCTTCTCTGCCATCATCTCCTCCTAACATTCAGGGCGCGTCGTCACCACCTTCCAACTTTGTTTCCAGTAATTCCTTCACCAAGTCATCTTCATCTTCATCATCTTCATCACACTCAACAACTTCTCAATCTTTCTCAAGCTACTCGTCTCGTGAGGTGACAACGCCATCAGAATCTACAACCCCTCGTTCAGTACCCAGTTACTCTTTCTCAACCTCATCTACACGTCTACCTTCAAGAGCTCCTCAATCCTTCTCAGCTATCTCATTCACAACACCTTCTACCGCTGTGTCGTCAACTTCTAAGCCTTTAAAATCTTCTTCTCCTCTTACCGTTTCGTTAAATCTGAATTCATTGTCAAGAAACTCATTTACAACATCTTCTCCGCCTGTATCAACAACTTCGAAGTCTGTTTCAAGTTACTCCTTCATTACTTCTCCTCCAGTGGTGACATCTCCCTCCTCTTTCACGACGTCCTCACATTCTTTCAATTCTGAGTCTGGAAAATCATCTCCTTCAGGTTCGTTTGTATCGTCGTCGCCTCCTGCAGGTTCTCAAGTGACTCACTCCTCTGGTCCATCATCATCACCATCTTTTACACTGTTACCGAGCCATTCTCCTTCTCCCAGGACCCGTACTACAGTCCCCTCTGCTAGAAGACATTACCAGGCTCCTTCTCCTCCTCCTCGACTTCCGGAAAAATCCTCAACATTGACCAAATCTTTCACCAACGCCAACACTTTTACTAAACACCGCTCTCGTCCCATCCAAACGCCATTACCCCCTAACGTACTCCCACAGCCAAAGCCCAGAACTAACGCTAAGTCGCTTTCCAGCAATCCAGCTAACACTTTCCAGCACATCACGGCTCCGAGACGAGGTGGTGGTGGTAATGGAAGAGGCTCCCCCCCGACACCACTTTCAGACGGTAAGACACGAACTCTAGGTAACTCAGATGACCCGTACACTGGTTCGATACCCGGTCGTAGTGGAGTCGACTATCCGACCTTTCAGACCATACCGAAAACAGGCTTTGATTGCTCCAGTAAGCCAGCTGGAGGTTACTACGCGGACACGGAAGCCGACTGTCAGGTTAGTAGTGGCTTGTTGAGGTGGTGGGTCAGTGAAGTGGTGGGTTGGTGAGGGTCGTGGGTTAGTGAGGGTGGTGGGTTAGTGAGGGTGGTGGGTTAGTGAGGGTCGTGGGTTAGTGAGGGTGGTGGGTTAGTGAGGGTCGTGGGTTAGTGAGGGTCGTGGGTTAGTGAGGGTGGTGGGTTAGTGAGGGTCGTTAGTCGTGGGTTAGTGAGGGGTGGGGTTAGTGAGGGTCGTCGTGGGTTAGTGAGGGTCGTGGGTTAGTGAGGGTCGTGGGTTAGTGAGGGTCGTGGGTTAGTGAGGGTCGTGGGTTAGTGAGGGTCGTGGGTTGGGTTAGGTTAGGTTACTAGATAACTGTCAACCAACCAATGGATTTATACCTTATGTTTATAAAAAAACTGATCATTAAATAGATAAATAAAATAAATTAAAAGTATTGCTGGTTCGTGTTAACTAATTATTAATTGTATTTTTGTTGCTGTTCTTCTTCGTTAGACTAATCAAGCAAATTCAGTACAGTATAATTAAGCAGTGTGTGTGTGTGTGTGTGTGTGTGTGTGTGTGTGATGTTAGACACTCTTGGTAGTTATAGGGGTAAGGAAATTATTTTTTATAGTGGTAGTAGTGGTGGTGGTTGTGGTGGTGGTTGTAGTAGTGGTTATGGTTGTAGTAGTGATGATAGTAGTAGTAGTGGTGGTGGTAGTGATGGTAGTGTTTGGTATTTTTGATGGTAGTGGTAGTAGTAGTAGTTATGGTTGTAGTGGAGGTGGTGGTAGCAATTAGAAGTGGTTCTGGTACAAGATGGTAATAGCAGCAATAGTAGTAGTAGTAGTTATGGTAGTAGTGTTAGGTTAGGTTAGGTTAGGTTAGCATATGATCCTTCATACATACCAAATTTCAAAGAATTTCTCATACACATATACTGTAGGTATGAGAGACAGATATATAAGAGGTATGAGACGGGTATTTTAACAAGTGTTTCTGTTGCAGGTGTTTCACGTGTGTTGGAGCGGACGGAGCGCATCTTTCCTGTGTCCGGTGGGAACCTTATTCAGCCAGCAGGTGTTGGTGTGTGACTGGTGGTACAACGTCGACTGCTCCTCCACCTCTGCCTTCATTGATGCCTCCCCAGGTGTATGGAACCCCACCGGCGACACCAATTACCTGTAGAGAACCGGAGGAGGGAGGGCATTAACCACACCTCCCAAACACTCCTGCGGCTACCAGATGGAAACCCAACGCCAGCTGTAGGCCAGGAGGGTCCCACCTGAGCCACCTGCATACAACAAGCAGGTGTGAATCTCAACCAGCTGTGTTTTTTTTATCAGAGGTGCTCGTAAAACCCAGTAGGGGAAGGTACACGGTAACTGTCTTGTGCTTACTAGTGCAGAAGGAAGACCAGCAGGGAGAGAAAACACTGTGTAGTCAAGATCCCTCACTCCACTATACTGTACACAGGAACAAAATAACGGTACGGTAAATATAGTGAAAATGTTGTGTCTTGGATACGAGTGACAGATTCCAAGATAACATTAAGGGCGTGAAGAAGGAAGATGACAACAGTGATTAATTAATATCGAAAGTGAGACAAAATAAGACTCATTAAATTTACTAATGAGATGTTAATTCATGTCCGCTTGAGTCGAAAAAAAAAAAAGAACAATAAAAGAGATTATCCCTTAAGTCTATAAAATTCATACACAAGTGTTTTTTTTCTTAACTCTCTCTCTTTTTCGCTACAATATACATCTTATTCGTGTTCTAGACAAGTGCGTCACGAGTTTTAACTGGTGGTCAACGCAGTATGCATGTGAGGTCAGTTTTCTTCATCAATATTTGGTACTAAGAAAAAACAAATCTTCAGCACACATTAGAGATGAAATTAGTTCAGTAACCTGGTGTTGTGTATAGGAGAATCGGTAATGTATTGGATCCCTATCATGCACCCTGACCCCTATCATGCACCCTGACCCCTATCAAGCACCCTGACCCCTATCATGCATCCTGACCCGTACACCTTGACCCCTATCATGCACCCTAACCCGTATACTGTTATTGAGACAAGAGAAAAAGCTTTGTTCCGTTTATTTACGTAACTATTTACTTCTAGTCTGGAACGCCCCTCAACACACACACACACACACACACACACACGAGAAAGTCGGGAATGAACCCTGACCCTCTTGCCTAAGTTACACACACACACACACACATACATACATCTTCCTCCGCCTACGCTTTCCTTACGTTGTCTAGACATTTCAATTTAATTTCTCCTCTTGGTGTTTTCGTTGTTAACCTGTGGAATCTACCCACTTAGGTATGTAAATATTCGTTAGATTATCTACTATGTAATTATCCGAACACAAAACGAGAGGTCCACATGTGTTTTTATAAAATACTAAGATCAAATATGTCTTATTTTTTCTGAACTGGGTGTTGTTTACGAACGCCTTGTGTTGTAATTAATAACGTTAAGATTTAGGAACGGTAAGATTATCGTTTTGAGAATATACTTATTTTCCGAAGGTCAGAATTGTTCAAAATACACAAAAAAAAATCTGAAAAACATAATTTCAACGTAACCTAACCTAACCTAACCTAACCTAACCTAACCTAATCTAACCTAACCTACCTAAACCTTTATTCGCTGCATGACCGAAACAATAATAATACCTTACGAACATCAGGACCTGGTATTCTCAAAGAATCGTAAATTAATTTCTCTCTCTATTATAGGGTACTGCCTGTGAGAAAGCACCTCTCTTTCTCTCTATCTAACCACAGCACAAAACTGACTATTGCTAAGGGCGTCAATATTGCACCAACACTACTGTATGTTTATGTAGGAATTACCGCGAGTGCTGACCATTGTAATGAACGTAAAAGTAACAATGTTATTCCCGCCTATTGAAGAAAACCACCTCGTATTGTAATACAATTGATTATCAACATTTCCCATCATCCATTTTTATCATAATTTGGATGATTATTTTCTTATTATAGTCATGCTTGCTAAAAACACTACGAGTATGTTTTTCCTCTTATAAAATATGACACCTTGGCCCCTGGTGTACGTGAGCACTGTTCACCTTTATAAAAATAGTTTATTTTTGTATGTAAAACCTAAAATGATACATGAACATTATAATGGAATAAGAATTATTGGTTTAGGTGGAACAGACATCCAACACCAGTTGCTCGGTTTCGTTATTTTTTTCCACAGACACTCACCTAATGTTACCTACCTTCCTAACCCCCTAACTCCCCGGCATATTAAATAGAAAGAACTTACTTTGATATTTGGTACCAATGAAGCCAACTTTCTTGAAACAGCAAGGTGTATTTTTTTTTTTTGTGAACGTGAGACCACTCTTGAACCGAGCGGCTTGGTTGCCACGCCAACAAAACATATATTTCGGCTGAATATTTACTCTAAATAATTATTTTTTTTGCGAACACAGCACGTAGAGACATCACTTTAGTGCCATGTTATCAGTTTTTCACCGTGTTTCACCCCCACAATTTTTCCCTCATCCTTCATGCCCTACCCACTACAGGCGATTTATTATCGTAGAGCGAACAAAATACTCATAATGAAAATAAATCGTTAAAGTACCGTTTTTTTATTACTATCATCCAATGAACATCTATGGAAAAATAAACGAAATCGAACAACTGGTTTTAGCCGTCCGCTCTACTTATACCAAATTATTTTTGTTAATTTTTTCAGAATGTTTTGACTTGTATATAATGTTAAAATTAATATAAAAAAAAACTGTATATTACTACTGAGGTTTATTTTTCCTTCCAGTTTTTATGTTTAGTAAAATGTTTCCATAGACTGCAATTTTCCACCTACGGGCTAATATAAATAAAAGAATATTAACTAGTTTCTATCTTAGTAAAAACGTTGTGTGATAATGACTTACTTCTGGAGTTTAAGAACAGTACAGCTAATTGAGACAAGAACTCCTGAAGATTACGGAGAGTAACTGTAGTCAAATGATAATAATAATAATAATAATAATAATAATAATAATAATAATAAGTAAACAAAGATGAAGAAAGTTAAAAAGAGACTTAGTTGGTGGTAGAATTATTATTAGTTTTATTATTATTATTATTATTATTATTATTATTATTATTATTATTATTATTATTATTATTATTATTATTAAAGCAAATAATGAAACAAATAAGTTTCCCACTAAAATAATATGGCATTGCTGTAAAAGACTAAAATATGAGTTGTGGTGTATCACAAACCCATCCATCATACCTGTACAGATTTCCCTCTCAAAATTGTTCTTTTAAATTTATAAAGACAATTGTTGACTCATAAACGTCGTATGGTGAGAATAAACAACAACATCTTAGCTGAACCACCATCCAAAAGTGGGCGTAAAAACCATATATCAGGGTTGTAAAATAAAGATTAAAGAAACTATTACTTTTAAACAACGTAGTATTATAGCAAATAAAAAATACATTACAAAATTATTAAAAGTTCACATAATATCTAAAACTGAATAAATTTCTAATTATAGAAAATTATGCGAAGTAAGGTATAAGTTAATGTTTTACAAGCCTAATTTAATATTTAACATCTACGACTCACTAGACGGGACTAAGACACGGCGTGAACAGACACAGATGTAAGGACTGTTTATGTCACAACCAGAGGGTTAATCAAGCACCGAACTAGTAAGTCTTATAAGAATTTCTTCAAGAATAAGATACTGCCTGTCTTGAGTACTGTGTCTCCCTTTCTGGCCCCCGAATATGCTAGAGACTGGCAGGTGATTGAAAACGTTTAAAGGAGGGCCACCATTATGCCTGCACTATGGCACCTCAGAGGGCCACCAGAGTTATGCCTGCACTATGGCACAGAGGGCCACCTGCCTGCAGGCACTCAGAGGGCCACCAGACATGCCTGCACTATGGCACCTCAGAGGGCCACCAGACTTATGCCTGCACTATGGCACCTCAGAGGGCCACCAGACTTATGCCTGCACTGGCCACCACCTCACCACCTCAGAGGGCCACCATTATGCCTGCACTATGGCACCTCAGAGGGCCACCAGAGTTATGCCTGCACTATGAGCCACCTCAGTTACTTGGTTATGAACGGAAATTAAATGGCACCTCAGTTACTTGGTGAACGGAAATAAAGTCGAGCAAATGGTGACAATACAAGTTTCTAAACACCTCAGAGTGCATTACTTAGTCTAGTGGGTAAATAATCGTCCATTGGATGTTCTCAGGCTTTGGAATGAGAATATTTGTTTGAATTTGTTTTACTGAAATCTGACCTTCATTTCTTATGTAAATTAACGGTTTTAGGAAAAAACAAATATTTGCTTTTTTAACAGAAACCTCTAATTTGCACAAAAATGGAGATCAGATTAAAATACCCCTAAAAACAATTATATTCTCATGCCAAAGGAACCAACCTACCTAACATAACCTCGCCTTCAAGAATGAGGAGAAAAGGTGGAGATTAGTGACTAAGTGAGGAGTATAGCCTCAGGTAAATAAGGCTGCTCCTGCAGACAGCCAATGGATGAATATGAACTGTCTAGTGTTCATACCTGGTGCTGGCAGATATCCGTCCCACTAGGGAAGGATGCAGTAGAGCACATAATCAGAAAATACTGTACAAGCAAAAACCGTCAAAATCATAACAAAAACCTACTTATATTAGTACAGTAATTTCTGACTATGTACTCTACCGAATCCATACCACAAGCCAGAGAGAGTTGCGAAGGTATCGAGTGTGAGTAGAGGACATTCAAGACAGACGTGACCAACAGTCGTACAGGTACAGTACTAAGAACATAAGAACATAACATAAGTACTATTCTGGAGCTGGTACATGCACAGTACTGATCAGTGGTTAAGAGGATAAATTTGTGTTTGTATGTGGTATTTATGATAATCTTACTTTTACTTTTATCCTCTTCACCACTGATCGGCTCGTTAGCAGCTAGGGCGATCGGTCACGTCTCTGTTACGCACTTTTGGCAAGTACTGGGCATGCACCAGCTCCTGAATGTATCTGAACCTGCTCCAGTGTTGGTCAAGTCTGGTCTTGAGAGAGCTCACACTCGGTGCCGTCACAACACTCTCCGAAAAAAATTGCCTTCACAGTTTTCTAGACCTGCGGCTTCTTCAACCTTGAGCTGTGATCCCTTGTGGGGCGAGTGTCCGCCTGCTCCAGGTAAGGACACTCGACTGAGTGAAAGTTTACAAAAAAGTGATTTTGGATACAATTGTTCTACACATAACAACTTACTTATTATTATTTGAGTTTCTTGACAGTAGGAAGGCAATAATACCTGAGATAATAAATTGCCAATGAATCTTTTGTTTTGCTCATCCACCTAAGTTTACCATCATTAAATACATTATTAGCCATTTTTCATTCGTTTGGATGACCTTTACAGTATGTATGTAAACTTAAACAAATTGGGAATTAAAGCATATGTTACAGGTGTTGCTACTTCCATGATGTAGCTTCCCTATGATGGCCCCCATGATGGCACCCTTGATGTACCCAACACTCATGTAGCTGCACATATTGTCACCCTCAGGACAAAAGGGCAAGTACAGTAAATATATATGGATATATACATATATATATTATTTTTGGTAATACTTTGAAACAATACTGTAGAGTAATAAGAAAGTTTTGCAAAGTATTATTTATAAAAGCTAATTTCTCTCTTACCTCTAGAAAATATCAAAGAATAATGAGGATTGACAATTTTATAATTTTAGTTTTTCCATATCTGTACAGTATAAATAAATCCACATTATTCATCCAATGTTATTTACAGTTTTTCAACTTTTTACAAATACATGTACTGTACTTCCTAGTGACCAACTGATTGCTTATCACCTGAATGCTTCACAGCAACCTTTCCATATACAGTATTTCCAAACGTATCCTAATTCAAGTAAACTAACCTAACTTAAAATAATGTTCTGTACTGTACTGTGCATCCATCCAAGGATAATTATGTTGAGTCAGTTCATCTGATCTTCAGCAGCTAATTCATAAAATGTAGCAGTCACTCTAAGTGTTTGTATGATCAATGGAATATTTGCTGGGAAGTATTAGTGTGGTGTGTGCAATGATCATCTTGTTTACAGTGATAATGACTTTTAGGATGAAAAAGTTGCTAAAGAATACAGTGCAGTAATACAAAGATTGCATACCCGTAATTTGGGTTAATTTTCTAAAGGAATGAAAGAAGCCACCATTCATAGAACATTTCTCCATAGTTCCTGGTAAAGCAGTACTGCTGTTCCAGAGTACTGTATTACCTTCCTTTTATGTAAATCACACTACATGAAATGAATTTAGCGATGCCAGAATATTCAATTACTATACTGTATAAGACTCTACAGTATATGTCATTCAGAATCATGTTTGTGTTTGTAATATATTTTCCATTATATTTATGTGTTGAGTGCATCAAACTATTCCTTAAACATACAATAAACTTTTGACATTGGTAATCATGAGGGCTGAGGTTATGCAAGATTCCCAGGAGAGAGAGCTGGTTTGGGGAGACACTTATTTAATTGGCCAATTTGGGCAATCAATGACACAAACAAAATTGTCTTGTCAGCCTTATACAGTACAGTATACAGTTTTGGTTGTGGATATTAGTCTGGCACCCTAGGACAACTAACTTCCAGGTGATATTCATCTGCCGCTCTCACACATAATTATTACAAAACAGATGTCTGAATAGTTAGTCAATTTTGACATTCAATTACAGTACATGAATTCAATTAAAAATGTATACAGGTGTAATTTTTGTTGGCATGCCCAAAAAGTGACAAACCTAACCTTTTGGTTATGCCAATGAATAGTACACATTTACATTTTTAATTTAATTTCATAACTGATTTAGTTACCTCAATATGTCAAGAGTTGACTAGCTTTTCATACATCTGTTCCATACTAATTAATTATTGGTCATGATTGCAGGATGAATATCCACTTCCTAGTACTGTACAGGTAAACCTCAAGACACGATACCCCATTCAGCAATATTTTGCCTGAACAATGGTCATAAACTAAGACCATCTCACTATATTATACAATAAAAAAGTTTGCTTTAATGATATCCATCAAATGGCCATTGATATCCATTGGTTGTAATTTTTTTTATTTCTAGTGCAAACTATACATGTACAGTACTATATTCAAATTAATCACTGTCTTGCAAGGATTCCTGCAATGCAAATTATATTTTTTCTACTTCAAGTCAGTGACATTTTATAAGGAAACAATATTTAACCTTATGCACGATGCATCTCTACCTTCACTTGTCAGCCTACCCACGCTCTGCCACACAGCCTACCTAGCCGCCACCACACGGCCAACCTGAGCACTACAGCCGTGTTTGGTTCTTTGTCGATCGTAAACCCGCCATCGCATGGCTCCACGATTATCGGCCAGCATTGTAGACTGTACTTATCATTGGTGTTTTTTTTTATATATGTACTGTATAGTGAGAGGACAGCACTAACATTTAGTTTGAACTGTGTTATGGTGACTGTGAAGTGATATTATCTGTGTTTTTGTTACTGTAAGATGCATCGACTCTGTTGTTTTGAAAATGTGAGCAGTGTTGACCGCTATCATTGTTTTTGTTATCATTATTCGCTCTGTTTTTGTGACTGAAGTGAGCAGTGTAAATTTGAAAATGTCTGGGAAGGCCAAGGCATCCAAGACAACCGTGTCTCTAAAGTGAAGCTTGACAATGTTAAGCAGCATGAGACTCCCCAGAGGCTGTGTGGGAGTTAGAGTGACGCTTCCACTCCACCTACAGGAGTCCCCTAAGCCTCACATGTGATGATGACCAAGCTTTTTCTTCAGGATGTGGCGAGTATTGTTTCATGGTTTTGTACTGATGGTAGTATAGTAGGAATTGTATTGTCGGTGATACGTGTGTGTTTGGGGATTGGCTGGGAACATATCCCATTGAACTCTATGTTATAATGCTCCCTACCTACGATAATTCACCTAACGATGGGTTTTTCAAGAACCTAACTCTATCGTATCTCGAGGTTTACCTGTACAGTACATTTGTTCTGGTGATGAATGAGAGATGCAAAAAGTTCTGTATATTTTTGGGCATTTTTATAATCTACAGATTTTTTTTTACCAGATGATGAGATTTAAAATAAGTTGACCACTCTTCAGAAATCATACATTTATCAGCCAAATACAGTTAATCATAAAAGTCTTTAGCCTTTTCAATGAGTGTCGCACCAGACACTGGTGACTCAAAACATTTTACAGTACAGTAGTTTGGATCACTCATTGAATGCAGTGACCAGTTCCTGGGATTTAAGCTTGGGAAAAATATCAACAAGTGTCAAGAGTGGTTGAGTACTGCTGTAGTTATAATAAAGCAAATGTTCATTTTCCCTCCTTTTCTAAAGGAGAGCTAAGGACTAGCTTACAGATGAGTGTCAGCTTGTGAACCAACTGCAAGCCATGTATGAGGTGCTTCATGATTTGTAACATTATAAACCGCATTCATTTGGTACTGTATTTCAACAAATCAAGGTTCTTTGTTATTTTTTATGTGCATCATTATACCTACAGACCCAGTATACTGGTATCATATTTTAGGTTATACAATGATATTAATAAGAGCTATCTATCTTGCTATATAATAGATAGACATCATTTGCAGTAAGAGTAGAGAAATCTTTGAATAACCTGTCAGAAAATATTGTGACATCGCCAACTGTAAATTCATTTAAGACTAGACTAGATGTGTTGAAGTACATTCAAGAGCCAATACATACCCAGTACTTGCCAACAGTGAATAACATAAATGACCGACTGCCCAGCCGGCTAGCGTGCTGACCAGTGGTGAAAATATTACCAAGTATTTAATTGATGATTGACCAATTATTTCATATCTTTTCATGAAGACTACCCATGATCCAAGACATCTTCAGAGGTCTCAGTAGGGGTGGTGCTTACTATTCAGTACTAGCTTCATTGTGTTATCATTAAGAACCTACTGTACTTAATCATGCTTCTATTTTAGAAAAATTTTTACTGCTCCTCATTGGAAATGGCTGTATTTCCATAGCCATTTTAACTTGTTTGCACACTTTTGTATAAAGTTGTCGAATTTAAATTTTTTATTTATTTATTTTTTTTATTAAAATATGTTTGAAGATTACATTTAGATGTAAAACAAATGCACTTTGCACAAAGTTTTCATTATTGTTGCCAATTTATTAGCATGTTAATGCTAAAATTTGACTATTGCACAGTCTCACCAGACTCTCTTTTAGGAAATTTACCTTCTTGGATGGAGTAATTTATTATTAGGATCAGGAATGCAACATTACAGTATTTTGAAAGAAGCTTTAAAGTTCCAGCATTACAAATTATACAGTATGGTCTAAATCAGTGTTCAATTATAACTTTTTAAGTATTCTTATATTTATGTTATTTGAAGAGTTACTGTACTAGTGTTGACTGACAGTTGTTTTATAGATGTTTGTGACGGAGGCTTGTTGGGTGATGAGGCTCATGAGTGCGCTGGTGCTGCTGCCTTTGCTTCGTGCTGATGATCACCTCATCCTGCGTTACTATGTTGCCATGATGAGGGTGGTGCGTCCTGTCATGGCACACGTCTTACAACTCTACACCAAGAATAATGACAACTTTAAAGAGCTACTCTTTCGCCTTCCAGGATACTCTAACACCAGATACGGAAAAGATTTCTATGAATCAGAGCAACGCCAATTGAATGATAAAATTACCAGTGATAATTTTGATATTACACTACTATTCAAATTGCTGCAACTTATCTGTGGTCTGTCCCCCAAGGGAGATGCTAAATGGTCAACTCCAGGGACACTGGAGAACAAACTGAGACTACTAAAAAATTACCGAAACGACTTGGCTCATGATGACTTATTATTAACTCCTGAGGACCTGCAGCATCGGCTGTCTCATATTGAGGAACTTTGTCGTGAGGTGCTTGAGACATCAGGTTGCAAATGTGGAAGTCCCATAACAGCTGAAGTTCGGGTGATGGAGGAAGGGCTGGAGGAGATATTGACAGGAAGTATAGACCTCTGGGAGCCATACAGGAAGGCACTACACAACCTGCAGCAGCAACAGTGCAGCACCATGGTAAGGGAAGGAAAGAAGGAGATCAGGGATGTGGCCAAGAAGCTTCGTATCCTCAACCCATTTGTCTGGCTCTTGGAAGACAACTTTTCTCACCTAGATGTGGGCCACATATTTGTAGATGTGTATATAAAAGGTCATGAAAATGTAAACACTTGTGATCTTTTTACCACAACACTACCTTCAGGGGAATATCCAGATACTTTAATTATTCATGGTTCTCCAGGCATAGGCAAGACAAGCCTAATGAGGTATCTGATTCATGACTGGTTGTCCACTGCACCTTCTGTACATGGAATTGATAATATTGATCTTGTGTTACTAGTGGAGTTGAGGCATGTAATGAGTACCACTGTACAGGAGTTGCTCTGTGAGGAGATCCTTCCAATGGCTTGCCGCCATCTAAACTTTGATGACGTCATCCCAACATTGAAGGAGGTGTCAACGCTCTGGCTGCTGGATGGCTATGATGAAGCGACCCCGTCTACGAGAACACTTGTACGGGAATTATTCAGAAAGTTTCCCGCTTCAAAAATCATTATGACTACTCGCACTGATTGTGCCAATGAACTTCTTCAAATAGTTGGAGAGGCTCATCTTTGTCATGCAACTTATCATATGAAGGGTTTAAGTCCTGGGAGTTGGAATTTATATGCTGAAAAATTGTTCTCTGTGTCAATAGCAGATGAAAGCTACCGACGAGCTTCTTGTAAGAGTTTTCTTCAGTTTATGAAGGATAAAGAGAGAAGTATGTGGGAAATCTTCAGTGTGCCATTATTTGTAGTGTTACTTGTGGTGTTGTGGCTGGAGAGTCCTTCAGCAGTCACTGAGGCCACTACAATTACAAAGCTCTATGATATTCTCATCAGTCACATAGTCAACAGGATGACCAGACGCTACCAAATCACAAATTTACAACTCACTGAAAGTCAGGTTAGAGATAAGATAAATGGCTTTCTTGATTTACTTGGTAATACATTTGGAGAAAATTCACAAAGTTATGTGTATGTTCTTCAGGATTATCAGTTAAAAGAAATTGAAATTTTTTGTAATGGTTCAGGACTGCCATTCAAGGAATGCATGTCACCATTTTTCCTGGTGATAGTGAAGGCAACAACCATGGGCACAACAGAGGAGTATCAGCCTCTACACCGGACAGTCCAAGAGTTCCTTGCTGCTCGAGCATTCTGCAATGCCATGATATCCCAAGACTCTGATGTGCTCACTATCGCTGGTCAGTGGTTGGTGAAACACAGGAAGAATAAAGTACAAAATCTACCTGAAGATGAAGTTATGACTAGAGTGTATAATAAGGAAAGCTTTGTTATATGTAAGCTTCATGAAGGAAGTGACTTGGTCTTTGATGATTATGAATTTGTTGGAGATATGTTTTCTGAGAACTGCTTTTGCCCCTATGTCATGGGCTATAATAAAAATCATGAGGATGAGGATGAGGATCTTGGCGAGTTTGAGAGATTCTTCTGTCGCTTATATTTCCAGTCTCTTTTTACAGGAAGCCTGGTAATCCGATTCATCTGTGACCTTCTGAAGATGAATAATGCTGTGACACAATCTAGGGCAGAACAACTTATATATGTGGCTATATGTGGCCAAGATAAAATAAGGCAGTACGGACTTTGGTTACAGCTTATTAATGTAGATTCAATATTCCTGGAGGAACTAAAGTCACAGCTCTCCCCATACCAGTGGAATCCCAAACCATCAGAACTGTTACAAGTTGGAGATCTTTTACAGTTTGTTACTCCAGAGGCACTGCATGTTCATCTCTGTGATTTAAGGAAATTTGATAATGAGCAGTTCACAAGTGCACTTCGTATATTTTCCAGGTTTTCAGTCAATATTTCTCTTGATTTGAAGAAATTTATGCTCAGTATGGACAGAAATGATCTTGATTTTGCAGAAGTTTGCATTGGGATATTGCTGGAACAGGGAGTCTCCTGCCGCCTTACTGCTTTGGGTTGTCCACTCAGTAAAGAAAGTTTGAAGTTGCTGCATTCTGCACGTCATCTTGAAGACCTGTGCGTGAGGGTCGACACCTTAGAAGATTTAAATACTCTAGCTGATGTAACAGACAGTCTTCAACATCTTGCAAGCCTATCAGTCTTCTTAAATTTTGTTTACATAAATAATCCACTAAAAAACTTCCCAAGGTTCAGATTAAAACAGAACATTAAACCTGATCGCTATATTGCTCTTGCCCCTAGTGGATTACCTGGTACAGGATGTTTTATAACCTATAAAACACACCTTGCAGCCATGTCTAACATGCTCATATTTAAAAAACAACCTCATAATTGCAAAAGACCAACATTCCCAAGCTGTAAACTTGAGAATAAACTTGGGAAAATATGCAGAAGCAAAAGAAATAAGAAGTTACACAAATCAACAGCAGCAATAATTCCTTTTCCCGACCACCTTGAAGAACTGAGGACCTCAGGAGCCTGTGAGTTTTTCATGAGAATGTGGTCTCTGCCGTCTGCACACTGTCAACCCCTTTGTGCTAAAACTCACTTGGATCCAATATTGTGTCTTGACTTGTGCTATCATAGACCAGCTAAGTTACCTCTGTGGACTGAACAAGAGTGGTTACATCACCACCAGGCAATAAAATATCACCAAAGGAGCATCAAAAAGCTTCGATCATTTTACACCATTTTGGTGAAAATAATCCAGGAGTGTTTAAAGCCAGTCAAGCAGACCACCAAGAAATCTTTTGATCCTCATATCAAACTATTGTGCTATGAATTCTCTGTTAAGCAGTTGTGGAAAAGCCTCCAGGTCTTGAATATATACTTACTTAAAGTATGTGAACTATTTATGTATGAACACAAGATCAGCATCCAACAGCATCGTAAACTACTGACACATGTTAGAGAACCACCATCATCCCTTTATTCCTCCTCAGTTCAGTTAGCATTCATTAACTCATTCCACCTAGATGCACAAATGTTTAGTGCTTTGGTTCATCAGCTCTGCCCAAACCCACTGAGACTACATATGTTTGATAGGTTCCTAGATGTTAAGAATGCTCTTGATATTGCCCAGTATGTATGGCATATAGGTAAATCTTTTCCAAATCTGCAGGCTCTCTTCATTCGTGAATTGAAGAGTTATACATTTTTACCTTCTCCTATTAGGCACATGGTAGACACACGAGGTGGGAGAGCAATAACGCTGATTGAGAAAAGTGCTCCCAAGTTTATTTATGATATCTCTGTGTCAGTTTGAAACCAGTGGAATAGAGTATAGTGTTTTGATAACTGTAACAAGTGAAATATAGTTTTGATAACTGTAGCAAGTGGAATATAGTTTTGATAACTGTAGCAAGTGAAATACTGTGTGGCATTTTGATGACTGTAACAAGTGAAATATAGTTTTGATAACTGTAACAAGTGAAATATAGCATTTTGATAACTAACAAGTGAAATACATGTATAGTATAGCATTTTGATAACTACATGCTTCTAAAACAGGTTGCATCTCGTTTTTTATGAACAGGATAAGTTATAGTGAATGTTGTAGTCACTTAACTGAAAAAGGCAAATTTAAGGTTAACTTAGGATTAGGAAAACCCAGTGAAACATGTAATTCAGTTAACTGAAATGTGAAGTGAGTGACTTTTTAGCAACACAGTAGAGTACGTGTGTCTTAATAACTTATACTGTAGTGTATACAAGAGAGTATTAATGAGAATTGTAATCAGGAAATAAATTTATTGAATGTGAAGAAAATAAAGAGAGAGAGAGAAGGAATATTTTTAGTACTATATTGTGTCGTGTTGTGTTGAGGTGGTGAGATACCTTTGGCTTTGCTTTGTTCAGTATTCACTTGTGATAAATGTTGCTTCATAGAATTAAGAATATGGTGATAAATATGCCCATGGTATCAGCCTGTATGAAAAAGTGTGATGGTACCAGTGGTGTTGACAGTGATTAGTCATTGATGTCACTGAGGGATATGACATGACAAATTAATGACAATTAACCATTAATATACTGTATTACCAATGTTTACATATATGGCAACTATAAAGCCATGATTTTGATTTTTCTGCAATGCTTATCATGCTATGTTAAATACAGTGTCATCATGTGTATTTAGATGCTTTTCATTTTAGTATACTGTATAAGAAATACAAATTATGTTTTATCATTTAAGTAAAGATGAAATTTTCCTTTTGAATTTTATTGCACATGTAAATAAAATATATTTGAAGTGAATTAATGTTTTTTTTCCATATAGGATAAAGTACAGTACAGTATGCTGTATAAAGAAGTGCAAATGATGTTGGATTCATAAAAATTGATTATGTTACCAACTGAACTGGGGTGTATACAAAAATTCTTGAAGAAATTATTGTAGAAAATAATCAGTCTACTGTTTTTAGATTATTCATATACTTAAACCATAAGGTAATAAACAATGCCTTTACAGTACAGTAGTTAGGTTAGGTGGCAGGGACAGTGTATTTATACAGTACAGTAGTTACGTAATGAAGTGAGTGTAGGACAAACTACAGAGGCTTTGTATTACTACTGTACCATATGTCTGGATCTGGACTGTCATTACTGGAGTGTCAGTCCTATGGGATCCGCAAATTACTTAATGTCATACAAAAGGAATGTTTGTTTTTTTTTTGTCTCTGCCATTCACATTGTTGGGTCCTGATTCTGTCTGTCAACCTGTCTTAGTCTGTCTGTGTCTGTCTCTCGGTATTATTCTGGAAAATATATTGACCACCATCAATCGGCCATACTAAATGTTTAACTTAATAAGATATACAACAGATTTAACTACACTGCGAAATTTTTTAGATTATTTTACATTTTTAATTGAAGTCTATGTAACACTCTCAAATTAGAAAATGTAAGATACCTATTTGAAAGATTTATTTTGCGAATACATTTAACGAAATTTATTGATCATAGGAACAGTAAATTTCCTTTTTGCAATTTACTACAGTACAGAGAGAACTTGAAGGTGCACTAGTTACTGTGAGGATTCTGTTGTGAAGAGTCAATGAGAATATTGGTATCTATTCCACAAAACTGTACTGGGACTTGGGCACTTGTCTACTATGACAGGTCAGAGCTCATGATGTGGAATAGATAACCACAGAGTCACAATTGTAATAACAGGTCCCTGGTAATAGCAGGTCCCTGGTAATGGCAGGTCACTGGTCATGGCAAGCTGATGACAGGTAGCGGACAGAGCGCACATCATCAACACAGGCAGGTAATACAGATGTTCTTTAATGTCTCCTTTATGAAAATGACAAGAACCTGTTAATGAGACCAACCATGATACATGACAGTTATCATCCTGGCGACACCAACCATGATACAACACATTAGAAGTATAGATCAATCAAGCGGAAGTTGTGTGAAGTTGCACTGGACAATAGACAGTTTTCTTTGATTGAATTTACTGTGAAATTTAATGGGTCTTGTCAAAGCAGAATTTCTTTTGACCTAAACCTTGCATGAAATGGCCTATATTTCTGCATGACCTGACCTCTAACCCTTCATGGTATTATCTCGCATACTTTATTCAGCCCTACTTTTACAACATTGGTGTGTTGCATGACTCTGGTGTGTTGCACGACTCTGGTGTGTTGCATGACTGGCGTGTTGCATGACTGGTGTGTTTCATGACTCTGGTGTGTTGCATGACTCTTACACATTGCATGACTGGCGTATTGCATGATTGGCATTGTTCTTGATCCACATGCTAAAGGTGGTACTGTTTTTCTTTATGTAGAATGGCATTTACATAATTTACTGTTGTTTGTTTTCTCTTGTGAAGTGGATGTGTGTGTGTGTGGATGTGTGTGTGTGTGTGTGTGTGTGTGTGTGTGTGTGTGGTGTCTTCACTGTTTCATAAAGCCTCATCGTGTATCAAGTAACTATATTCATGACATCATTTATTAAATATTTCCCTGTTGGAGATTCTTTACATATCGATACACACACACACACCATCAAAACCACTCTTACATACGGAAAATGGTGCTTAATGAACTAGTAAATTTCTCTCTTTCGTTTCATGTTGATATAAACCACTTCTTTCTTTCTTTCCCTCTATTACCTTTCATATTAACACTTTATACTAATGTAGTTTCCATTTACTAACGTGTCAATGACCTACACACACACACACACACACCATATATCTCGCTATTCTGGTCATATTGTCAATAAAACGATTCTCAATTCAGTTACTAATCCAATTCCACTGAACATTTCCCACCTACAATGTATAATTTTCTTTCGGTTTTGTATTCATTGTTGTGTTGATTTCAGCTGAGGTGGATAATTTTTTTTTCACGTATATTGTTTATTTTTTAGTTATTAAATGTTCTGGTTTTGGGGATGTGTTTAAAAGGGAATTTGTTATTGTAGAGTGAGTGTTTGTGGCTAGTGAGTGTTGTGTGTTTGTAGCAGTTGAAAGTACATAGGATGAGTGCATGTACCAAGGGAGTATGTGTGTGGATGGGGGCAACAAACAACAACAATAATAATGAATTTTCACATGTTAAATAATTATATATTTTTCTCTTAAAATTTTTTGTCTGTTTCATAGTTCGTTTTATTTTGTAACTTTTTTTTTTTTACTTATCAATTACGTATTTTTAACACTCCGTGGTGTGTGTGTGTGTGTGTGTTAATAACCTCACAACACTACAACACCTACAGGAGCCTCACTTCACCTGCAGGAGCAAGGTGAAGTAAGGCAACTGAGGGAGACTCACAGCTGTCCTGACGGTGAATAAAATGTCAGCAAGGATCACACTGGTTTTCTCTGGAGGGAAACAAAGTAAAATATTGATATAAAGAGAGAGAGTCAACTACTGAGGTGAGGCAAGAGAGAGAGTCAACTACTGAGGTGAGGTAAGAGAGAGAGAGTCAACTACTGAGGTGAGGTAAGAGAGAGAGTCAACTACTGAGGTGAGGTAAGAGAGAGAGTCAACTACTGAGGTCAACTACTGGGGTGAGGTAAGAGAGAGAGTCAACTACTGAGGTGAGGTAAGAGAGAGTCAACTACTGAGGTGAGGTAAGAGAGAGAGTCAACTACTGAGGTGAGGTAAGAGAGAGAGTCAACTACTGAGGTGAGGTAAGAGAGAGAGTCAACTACTGAGGTGAGGTAAGAGAGAGAGTCAACTGCTGAGGTGAGGTAAGAGAGAGAGTCAACTACTGGGGTGAGGTCAGAGTAGGTCAGACCTCAGAGTTGAGGCAAAAACATCATCCTCCAGGGGGGGCCGGTGGCAGAAGCGGTATCGCTCTTGCCTCGCAAGCAAGATGTCACGGGTTCGATTCCCGGGCCGGTGGTAGTTGTTTGGACACACTTCCTAGCCCCCATTAGTCCCTGTATTCAGGGAGTTTCAGGGAGTTGTTGGAGCTTCCAATAACTTGATGACATAAATCATTGACTCTTCAGGCTTCTACGCCCTTAACTCATGAGACATAAAGGCAAGCATGAACTTAGCATGCTTCCCTGTTGGGCGCTGTAAACGCTTCTGCGCTTCACCTTACACAAGGATGTAGGGGGGTGCCCAATAAAATCATCCTCCAGCCGCCAACTGGCCGAGGTAATGGACGGCCTCCACAAGCCATACTTAATGGTTGGAACCCAACATGTGATGCAGCGACGCCATTGTTTATGTTTAGCTTAGTGGCGCCTCGTGCCAGATGACGTCACTACCAAGGGAAGGATGACATCATGACAACTGTCAACAATGTTACGTCACTGGTTGTGTAACACATAACTGACACAGGTTGTGTTTTACCGAGGGTAAAATACCAACACACACACACACACAACGCCCAGCACAGTACCCCCCCTCCCCCCACCACACAGCTCAGCTCAAGAACTGTGTCTCTGGCTGACTTGTGGCCTCCACCTCTCTGATCAGCTCCATTAGCCAACTTCCCGAGTCAATATCCGGTATTGAGACTCCTGTAAAGGCTGGAGGAGTGAATGAGATAGATGAAGGCACAGGAAATTGGGCGTTACATGAGGGTGTGGGAGGTGAGGAGGTGCTTGTCGGGGCACAGAGAGTTATGGTGTTACATGAGGGTGTGGGAGGTGAGGAGGTGCTTGTCGGGGCACAGAGAGTTATGGTGTTACATGAGGGTGTGGGAGGTGAGGAGGTGCTTGTCGGGGCACAGAGAGTTATGGTGTTACATGAGGGTGTGGGAGGTGAGGAGGTGCTTGTCGGGGCACAGAGAGTTATGGTGTTACATGAGGTGTGGGAGGTGAGGGGTGCTTGTCGGGGCACAGAGAGTTATGGTGTTACATGAGGGTGTGGGAGGGGAGGAGGTGCTTGTCGGGCACAGAGAGTTATGGTGTTACATGAGGGTGTGGAGGTGAGGTGGTGCTTGTCGGGGCACAGAGAGTTATGGTGTTACATGAGGGTGGGAGGGGAGGAGGCTTGTCGGGGCACAGAGAGTTATGGTGTTACATGAGGGTGTGGAGGTGAGGAGGTGCTTGTCAGCACAGAGAGTTATGGTGTTACATGAGGGTGTGGGAGGTGAGGTGGTGCTTGTCGGGGCACAGAGAGTTATGGTGTTACATGAGGGTGTGGGAGGTGAGGTGGTGCTTGTCGAGGCACAGAGAGTTATGGTGTTACATGAGGGTGTGGGAGGTGAGGTGGTGCTTGTCGGGGCACAGAGAGTTATGGTGTTACATGAGGGTGTGGGAGGTGAGGTGGTGCTTGTCGGGGCACAGAGAGTTATGGTGTTACATGAGGTGTGGGAGGGAGGAGGTGCTTGTCGGGGCACAGAGAGTTATGGTGTTACATGAGGGTGTGGAGGTGAGGAGGTGCTTGTCGGGGCACAGAGAGTTATGGTGTTACATGAGGTGGAGGTGAGGTGGTGCTTGTCGGGGCACAGAGAGTTATGGTGTTACATGAGGGTGGAGGTGAGGTGGTGCTTGTCGGGGCACAGAGAGTTATGGTGTTACATGAGGGTGTGGGAGGTGAGGTGGTGCTTGCCGGGGCACAGAGAGTTATGGTGTTACATGAGGGTGTGGGAGGTGAGGTGGTGCTTGTCGGGACACAGAGAGTTATGGTGTTACATGAGGGTGTGGGAGGTGAGGTGGTGCTTTGCAGGCACAGAGAGTTATGGTGTTACATGAGGGTGTGGGAGGTGAGGTGGTGCTTGTCGAGGCACAGAGAGTTATGGTGTTACATGAGGGTGGGAGGTGAGGTGCTTGTCGGGGC